CTGCTCTGGGCAAAAAAGATTAAATTACCTTTCCATTTATTATTATTAGACTGCTGTTATATCCTGCTTTTCCCCCGTTATGGGGAAGCCAAGGTGGCTTACATAGTCCTCCACTCCATTTATTCTCAACAGCAACCCTGTAAGGTAGATTAGGCTGAGAAGGAGTGACTGGCCTAATGTCTCCCACTGAGTTTTATGGCTAAGTGAGGACTGGAACCCAGATTTCCTAAGTCCCCAGTCCAGTGCTCTAACCTTGCAGGCAGAGATGGTTTCCTTTTCAATCTGAATTACATTTTGGGTGCTTTATAAATTATAATAATCTGTCCTGGAGAATTTATTTATTGGATTTCTGGCCTGCCCTATTAGCCACACAGCTCCCTGGGTGGAGTGTGGGGAGGAGTTGCTTTTGTTCACACAGAGATTCAGTTTTTAATAGGACATCATTTTTCTTTCGTGCCTTGACAGCTGGTAGAAGCCATTGTGTTGCCAATGAATCATAAAGAGAAATTTGAAAACTTGGGTATCCAGCCTCCTAAAGGGGTGCTAATGTATGGACCCCCAGGAACAGGAAAGACTCTTCTGGCCAGGGCATGTGCTGCGCAGACAAAGGTATGTTTGCTGTTGGTTTCCTAAAGAATTTCCTCTGTCTTTTTTCTTAGGGGAAGGAGAGGCTGCATTTAGTTAGAATCTGAATAGTAACAACATAGCTCTGTAGTCAGTGTCAAAAATCTATATCCTGTTTTTAACACTGCATTTTCATATTTTGACTTTTAAGAAGCTTTAGGAAATGGAGACTGTTAGGCTGCAAAATATTCTGTTTAGTGCTAAATTTGGTGTTAACTGGGATGCCACAGTTGGGCAGATATAAAATCATTTTCTCCTTCACTCTCAAGGCTACTTTCTTGAAGCTGGCTGGCCCACAGTTGGTACAGATGTTCATTGGAGATGGAGCCAAGTTGGTGCGAGATGCCTTTGCACTGGCCAAGGAGAAAGCACCTTCTATCATCTTTATTGATGAACTTGACGCCATTGGCACAAAGAGGTGAGATTTTTGGGCTCCTTTCTGTAAGATCCAGGATAAATACCCAGGTCCCTTATGCATTGCAAACAAAACTGTATCATAGCTTAGAAGGTTCTTCTTCTTGGCCATCCTGATTGGGACCAGCAAGGGAAGGAGGGAGGTTGGGGTAACAAATAGAACAGGCATAATTCTGGGCCCAGCCTCCTTGCCTCCCCACTCTGCAACACCCCAGCATGGTTCTTTCCACACCGACTGGAAGGGGACAGGGGCTCAGATCAGAGATCATAGAATCTCACCGCTTGGACTCTGCAAAATCCTATGACGCCCTCCCCCCTTGAGAATTGCAGACATCAGAATTGCACCTTTATTTTTGTATTTGGCTATATTTATGTAGCATATTAAAGGGATGTTCTGAGTGATATACAAATGAATTTTTACCAACAGCTGCTTCATTTATGCTAGCAAAGGAGGGTAACCATTTATTTGCAGTTACACCCACACAGTCCAAGCATCTATATGCTGCCATGGATATGTTCATTCAGACCACTGGGGAAGGTTTATTTCATTGACTGTTGTGCCACTGTAGCAATATTTTGAAGTAAGTCTATATATGTATGCAAAAGGGTAAAATGAGGGTTTCTGCAGGGGATGGATTATGTGAGCTAAATTGACATTCCAGCATGTATTCTTCCAGGTTTGACAGTGAAAAGGCTGGGGATCGGGAAGTACAGAGGACCATGCTGGAATTGCTGAACCAGCTTGATGGATTCCAACCCAATACACAAGTCAAGGTAACTTTGCCCTTAGGTGATGCTGTGAGTGGGTATTACAGCATGGCCTGAGAAAGTCGTATTGATGAGGCAGGTCTTAACAGAGTCCGTTGCATCTCGGATTATAAGATCTATTGTCTGCCCCATTCCAAAGTGATTTTCGCTCACGCAGGTGATTGCGGCAACCAACCGTGTTGATATCCTCGACCCTGCTTTACTCCGCTCAGGACGGCTGGATCGCAAGATTGAGTTTCCAATGCCCAATGAAGAGGCCAGAGCCCGGATTATGCAGATCCATTCACGCAAGATGAATGTCAGGTATTGCAAAGACAAGAAGCCAGCTTGTCTGTGGTGAAAATGGCTGCATGTCCTGGGCTGTAGTACCTACTACCTTTGTGTCCTCGGCTCTGTCTACTCTCTGTTGTTGTTGTTAAGAGAGTGTGGTATGCCATGCTTCATTAGGAGTGTAGAATGTGATATTTGGCATAGAGTCAACCTGCTTAAGAATCTTAGCTTTTTCTTGGAGCGAGTTTTTAGACCTTACGGCTGCTGTGTGAGTGATACCTGTTGAAATTTCAGATGTCAGGAAACAAGACTCCCAGTGCTTGGACAGGGTTTTAGTATTCTGCATCATTTTTGTCTTTTCCTGTGTCTAGCAAAACCAGAACTAATTATGCTCAGTTAAATCAAGCAAATTTGCATAATTTGGTTTAAATTTTGGTAAAGGATTTAATTACTTTTATCACAGGGTTCACAGGGCTTTGTCGTTTCATGTTTTCCCAGGAAGTTCCCAATTGAGATATTTTTTTCAAAATAGAATTCTTTTTTCTGCAGCCCTGATGTGAATTATGAAGAACTGGCTCGCTGCACAGATGACTTCAATGGTGCACAGTGCAAGGCTGTCTGCGTGGAAGCGGTAAGTAGGTTCTGCCAGACTGCTTCTCACTGGAGAACTCAAGGCTCTCCCCTCAACAGTCAGCGCTGATTTGGTTGCGGGGACACAGAGGTCGGGAGGAAGAGATTTCAGCCTGAGAGCTGCCGCTTACTGTGTCCAGTTATGGGATGCACTTAGGACACTTCCTGAACTCTGCTTTTTTTCATTGGGCCAGGGGATGATTGCTTTGCGGCATGGAGCTACGGAGCTCACTCATGAGGATTACATGGAAGGAATCTTGGAAGTGCAAGCCAAAAAGAAAGCCAATCTGCAATATTATGCCTGATTATTTCACCGAAAACCTGTTAAGGCTTTGACTGCAAAACCAGGATCAATGCAGTTGGGACTGAACTGTTTCTTTCTTTTACCTAATGCAAAAATAAAGCATTTACCTTGACTAAGGCAGCTGTTAATGTTGCAACAACTGGAGAAAGAAGAATTAATTCTGTGAGCTGATGCCCTTGTTCATGTAGCAGCTGCATATGTGATGCTTTTAAGCCCTTAAAACACCCACGTTTGCACAAGCAGCACAAACTCATATCCTGCTTGTGTGACTGATTTCTGGATAATCTTTGAAAACACCTCCTCTGTTGTCACCATCCACACTGCTTCAGTTCCTGCACAGTTCAAACCCTATTCTGTATTTGCACCAATACAAGAGGTATGTTAAATGCATCCCTACACAGACAAGTCGTCTCGACCTCTGAGGCCTCCTATGAGGTTAAACATGGCCCATATTCTTTTTAGGTGTCTACATATTACAGTGACTGCAATGCAGAGCTCATCTGCCGGGAGTGATTATCTGAACTTGACTGCAGAAATGAGTGGTATTTCCTACCTGTGGGACAGGGTTTCTCTGACAGCTGTGGCTTTTACACAGGTATAGAAAATTGGGACCCATTCTACAGAGATCCCAAAGGCTGAGAATTCCCATCCTCTCACTGTAACCAAGCCTTTTAATGTAATGCCTCTTGAAATGTACAATGTCCATTTAAAAATCACACCTTCCATGAATACATTGAGTAATTACATGCCACTTAAAAATACAATGTAAACAGTCCTCCAACAAAGGCTTCTGTGCAGTCTTGGGGAGACAGAAGGAGTACAAGGAGGAAAGACCAGCACTTCCCCTCAGCACCATTGTTGATATTCCTGAGTTTAAGCCCGGCTATTCTTGTTCATTTGCATACTGGGAGCCCCTTTAATCAAGAGGTCTTCCTTTTCAGTTATCAGAGGATGCCACCAAGGGGCTGTTGGGTTTTTAGTTTCTCTGCTCATCTGCCAAAATATTTCTCCCCCACTTAATCTGGAAATATTTGAGAGATGTTCCCATCTCAAATTTGCCTCTTAGAGCAGTTGCTAAGACTGCATTGTTCATAATCACCCATTGCAGCAGTTGCTATGACAGCAGTTTTGGTGCACTTTCTGGCCTCAGCTAGAAATCTGTGGTTTCATCCTTTAAATGAACACGAAGCTTTAACTTGGTGAGCAGGAATGTCACAAGTAAGTAACCTGATTGGTTTTGTCTCAAGTTGAATCACCTCCACAGTTCTGGTGAACTTTAGATCACTAACTGGAGCCTGCCCCCTTGTGGTAGAAATTTTTGAGCATCTCATGTCGTACCGCATTCTATTTACCCTCACTTCCTGGAAGTATTTTCCTGGAAGGTACTTCACAAGCTACTGTTTGGCTTCCAGAATGAACAAGGTTCATATACTGAAGAGTCCAGAGGAAAAGCTTTCTTACCTCTCTGTCTGTCTAAAGCCTCCCCCGAAATAAGCTGGTATCAAATGCTTCAGTGCAGTAGGTTGTACTAAACCTGTAACAGCACAGGGTGTCTGCCGCAGAGGAGAATCAACACTGAGACTGGCTGGATTTCCCTTTAGCCTTTACCTTTGACTGGTCCTCGAGTGTTCTTGGGAATGTAGTTCCTTGGAGCCATCAGGTGCCAAGTGGAATTCACAGTGGCTTCTGCTCCTAGCAGAAATCTGATTCAGTTTAAATGGTACACAGATCCTACAGCAATACACCCTATTTAACAGAAAACTCTCCTTTAGGCAAACCAGGAATAAAAAGTAACCTGCTCAGTTTGTTGGTAGCAGCTGCAGGCTGAAGAAGCAAGGGGTGGTGGTCCCCCAAGGTTTTCACAAAGCAATCAGATCCCTTAGTTCGTCCCACCATGGGAGCCACCCTGCTTTATGAATCTCAGATGCCCATGCTGCATGGGTGGTAACCTAGTTCTGGAGTGTGCTAGGTCAAGTCTTTTGCGTTCTCATCACACAGCACCATTTTCCTGTCTGGGTTTCTGTACAACAGTCCGAGGGGTGTTGAGAGATGGGGCCAGTGTGCATAAGAATCCTGCCAGAAGTGTCAGCCCCAGGCCGCCCCATGCACAGAACATGGACCAACCATAGCCATGGCTGATGTCCTCTGGTAGCCCATAGACGTAGCGAGGGTAACGAGATAGCTCAAAGTTTATCCCAGCCACACATGTGCAAAGGGAAATGATGCAGCAGGTCCCTGCAGAGAAGAAAGAGAAGTTTGACTAACACAAATACCTCACCCTTCTCCGCATAAGGCAGGATCAAATTACTAGTTTTTACATTTGTACACAGGAAAAAAATGAACATTAAACTCTTGCATCACACTATTATTGCTCACTACATTGCAAACTCACCTAAGTTCACATAATCATTTCTCTTTCTCACTCTTCATTCTCAGTAAACTAAACATTTAAAACTCTTACCTGTGCTTTTTCTTCCCCATCAGCTGCTTTTCCTCGAATGTTAAGGAGTGCACACTTATCTTTTCACATTGTATAAGAGGACCTTAAAATCGGCACAATATTTTTGGCCTCATCTAATACCTTTAGAGTATACTTCCTACATCTCTTTTCAAGGCTTCCAAGTAAAGAGATGGCACATTATCTGATGTGATTGTACTGCGTTCATACAATGGCACCAGAAGCGGCGGTTTTGTAAAAAGAAGAAGAACTGGGTGCTGTTTTAACGTGATAATCAAATGCTCCAGTCCAAATGCTGGAAATGACTCATTGAGGTACTTCTTATTATAGAAGAGTACACACAGTGCTGTAATTCTGTCCTTTTCATAGACATCGCTCCCCTGAAATTAGCAGACTCAAATGGCCTTACGAATGTAAGACCATTACATTCAAGTATCAATCAATTAATATTGATACTCGACCTTCCTTCCAGCAACTGGCACCATATAGTGATGCTTGCAGCTGTCCAAAACTACTACCCAGTAACTCCAGATGTCAAAGTAATGGATACCATAGACATCTATTGACTCAGCCTCGCACATTTCTAAAACCAAGGATTACAATATAAGGGTGGGGGTTATTGCCATTGGTCTGTAATTTCAGAAAAGTGCTAGATACACTTAAGTGCATTAATGCTGGTTTTAAATTTCCAAAAACTGTGCTCTTGATTCACTGCTTTGCCCGGGATGATTTTCTTGGAATCGGAAATACATACATTCTGCACATGATGCTTCCCAGAATAAAGAACTCGCCCAAACACTGGGCTGGACACACATGACCAGTCACAGTGCTTTGTAGTCACGGTGATTGCAAAAATGGCTGCAGATGGTCTGTATGTTCACACTAACGTTTTGCCATAGGATCCCATCAGCAGGGGCCTTGCTGAGGAAAACAGTATGCAGTTTACATGCATCTGTTCCCTCCATCTGGGAATGAGAGCTGCTAATTTTTCTACAGGCTGCTATAACTGCTTTTAAACATCTGTTTGATTTGCAACAGTTAGTGGCTTCATTTTTTCTACTGAAGTTTTCACATAGAGGCTAGATGCTCATGTGAAGCAGTGGATTTCCTGGATCAGTTGCATACTGGACTACCTGAAGTCCTTGCAACCCTTAGAATTTCATTCTGTGGAAAGATTTACCTGCTGATTCCTGTGGAGTGAGCTGCTGCTTAAGACACAGCTACAGGGGCACCATTGAAAAGTTGGCAAACATTTTTTAAATTTTAATTGTCAAGGTGTGCTGCAGCAGGAACAATTCTAATATTGTAAACACCATCTAGTTTAACACCCCACTGGTGCAGGAAATCCACTTCTACCATATCCCCCGATAGGGGGCATTCCAGCTGCTGCCTAAAAATATCTTTAGAGGGAAAAAAATCACCTGCTAATTGTGGAAGACCATCAAACTGCTTTTAAAAACCTACATGGAGAGTACAGGCCTCTCTCTAGCAATGGGACCATGCTGGTTACTCTTTTCACACCCCCGTGAAGCCACTAGTGAATAGAGATGTATTGCTGATGAAATAGCTGGCTAAGCATCATCTGGCAAAGCAACATTTTCATTTCTATTGTTTCATTTATTTATTTGTGTCACTTGAACATTTCACCCGTCACTTCAAACTGTGGTTGGTTCAAAGAACCAAAGTTACCAGTTCTGCACTGTTCCTGTCTTATGAATCCACCTGTACCACCAACTCTTTGTTTCATTCCCTATAGCACACAATAGCAAGAACATTTGTTCAAAATTGCATGTCTCTTGGATTAAAAAGAAGAACTCTCACCTCCCATAAGGAAGAGCAGTCCAGCTACATACTGCATGAGCTCATGCTGTTTACAGCAGCCCAGCATGCCAATGATCCAGCCGAACAGGATGATGGAAACTGCCATGCCAATGAAACCGGCCGTCATTCTGCGCAGATCTGAGGAAGGGTGGCGGTTTTGGTGTAGGGAAGTAAGAAGATGGAGAAAGGGGGGAGGGAGAGAAAATCCATGAAGAGTAATTTGGAGGCTCTACAAGAAAGTGAAAAGATGAGACAGAGCCTTGCATTTGGACCAGTGAATATGATGGCTCCCCCTTTGTGAAATCATGTGCAGCATTTATGAAGGCCAAGTTATGGCACTTTCTAAAAAGTGACCTTCTGTCCATTCATGGCTGGATCAAAGTCAATAAGATAATAAAAGTTGTCCTGATTCTGGAAATCTGCCATGCTGGGTGTGTACTGCAACACATTTACACCAAAACTTGCCTCTGCCACCCAGAGGATCACTTGTAGCTCTCTGCTAGAAAGCACTTGAATGGGCAGTCTCTATCCAGTCCTATCAGGCTATCTTGTACTCAGAAGCATGACTTCTGACTACTTCATTTATTCTTTATTTAATTAAAATATTTGCATACTGTTCCACATCCAAGTGGATTTCTGAGTGGTGAACAGCAGATAATTAAAGCAAGCAAAATGATAAAAAGACAACAAAACATTTAAAAACAAGGTAACATCAAGACTGTGGCTGGTCAGCAAAAAAGGCTTCCTGGCACATGGTTGTCCTTAGCAGGTATTGAGTGTTGCTCCCTGAGTGACCTCCTGAGGCAGGAAATCCCATAGAAATGGGGCCTTCACACTGCAGCCTCTTCTGGTGGCCTCCAGCTGTGGACAGTTCTGTGGATCCACCAGGGGAAGATCCTCCAATGACCACAGAAGCCAGGCAGGTTGGTGGGAGAGAAGGAGCTGTCTCAGGTATCCTGTCCCAACTTTTTCAGGGTGCTTTAATACTAGCGCTACACCTTTACCCTGGCCTGGAAGGGACCAGGTGGCCAGTGCAGTTCCTTCAGTGCAGGGGTGACCTGCTGAGAAGAGGCTCGGCAACAGCCAAGCTGCTGTGTTCTGACCGAGTTCCAGCTTCTGGGCCAGCCTTAAGGGCAGCCTGACATGAGACGTATGGCAATAATCCCATCATGAGGTTACCCATCCCCTGTATTATCGTGGCAAAGCCATCCCTGTGCAGGAGAGGCCAGTGCTGGTGACCAGAGATGCTAAAGGCTCTCCAGGGTGATGGCACTTAACTCCAGATCTCCCGGCAGCTCCATATAGACGTTAGAGTACTCTGGGGATGAATTGTTCCAAGGTTACTCTCTGAAATCAACCCAGCAGGTACAACAGAACCACTCTAGTGCTTCCAATTCCTTGCTCATGGGACCAGTCCATGCGGATCGCACGGTCATTGGCATCAAAAGCCAATGAGAGGAGGGGGAGAATTAGCAGATTTGAACTCACCCTGACTCTCTCCCACTAAAGGTCATCCCTCAGGGTGATCAGGTTGAATCTGTTCCATAAACAAGTCAAAACCCAGATAAAAATGGAACTGGATAATCAGTATCCACCAAGAGTGCCCTCAGTTGCTCTCCTGCAGTCTTCTCAAGTTCCTGGAAGGGGGCCATCTGCAACTGAGTGGTAGTTCTCGAAATACATGGAGTCTGCTGTGAGGGGTTTTTTTTTTTTTTTTTTTTTTAGGAGTGGTCACACTGCTGCTTCCATAAGTACAACAGAAACCACCCCTTCAGGCGAAGATGTGTTTGACCTCTCTCTGTCTCCACCAGACTAAGCCCTGGTTTCAGCCAACTTGTATCAGCCCGGAAGGAAAAGGGCCGAGAGAGCACGCCACAGCTGCAAGTACCTTGTCCGCATCATCGAGCTGCAGTCATTGAAACTGATCTCGAAAAATTGGGTAGATGGCAGTATCAGACACCTTGACTGATGCTGCATAACAGCATCAAGTTCACTGTGGAGGTAACTGATTTTGTCCTTAAAGTTCAATGCAAAGAGGCCACAGTGGGATGGGAGTCCTGCATTTTCGGGGCAGCATCAACAGCCCCCAGACCACCTGGAAGAGCTTCTCTGGACAGCTACTCGAGAATGCAACAAAGACAACCAAGTAATGCAAGATAATAGGTCCAATTATGCATGCTAGAGGGAGTTTGGTCATCTTTGCTTTGAGTCTTACACTTCTGGTTCTTTAGCTGACATCCAGCCTGTCTCCCTGGCTGCAGCTCCCCACACTGCAGAGGGTACTCAGATGTAAATGAAGTTATGGCCCTCTTCACCTTGCTGTTACACGGTGGGACTAAAGACTTAGCTGGATGACCAGCTCTGTCTAGGGGCATCCCCAAGAGCACTTGGATATTCATTGGATTCAGTCAATCTCCTGGGGAGACCATCTAAATGGGTCCTGCCATCCCTGGAGGAGGAAAGCAATGCAGTGAGTTCAAACTTCACCACGAGATGGTCTAACCATGACAACAGTGCTTCTTAGGACCCCCAGTGTCAGGCTACGAGTTTCAGCGCTTAGAGCAGTGACCAGGTGAAGGGTATGCCTCACTTCAAATGCTGGGTCAGTGACAAAGCAAGACAGTGCTATGAACATCACGGAGCAATGAAATTCTGAGCTGGAACTCCAGGGACAGTCTCAGCATGGCAATTGAAGCCACTCAGGGCCACCGTCCTGGATTCTTCCCACACTACACTTGAGACCCAGCTTGGCCGGGGAGGATGCTGGGCAGCAGGATGAGGTGGAGAATACCAGCAATATGCCCAGTCTGTCACTACAGCCCTAGAATAGGTGCTCCTCCCCAGGCCTGCTCCAAGCTGGAGTGGTTTCCTAGTGATAAAGATGGAAGTTATGTGAATCAGAGCATCCCCTTTTTCTGCAGGCCTCTAGCAGACACGCACTGCAGAGAGTACCCTTCTAATCCATGGACGATGGATGCTATGTTGTTATGCTGGCATAGGTACAACCTGGACTGCCTCTTTCCAAGTGTTCTGGAGGAGTGTAGCAGGAGTTAGACAGACCATGAAGCTGAGAAGAGATGGGGAAAGGATTAGATGTTCTTCACTTGCTTCTTGGCTTCAAAATGGCCTGGTAAATGGAAAGCTAATGCATCACAAAGAAGGCCACACTTGATGTGATAGCTTTCATGTGCATTTTTCCTTCTTTGGCATTCAGAAAGGCTATATGTGTCATTCCACTGAATGGTCAGTCTGCTGAAAATTAAAACAAGAATGATCAGGAAGGGGTTGGGATACTTACGGAGAGCGTGCCATTCATCCTGGCGGATGGTGTTGGTAACATTCACAGGCAAGTTGCGTGGCAGGGAAGAGGAGGTGTAGTGATACTTCACAGCTGTGCAACGCTGAATGACCCCTGAAAGGGACAAACAGGGAATATTCAGACGCCAACACTGTGTCTGAGGCTAGCGGTTGTATTCCCTCTACTGCCCACTAGCCTGTGTTAAACCCACTCTTCATCTCTAGTGCGGCGGCTAAGGGTACAATCCCATGAACATTTAGTTGTGTGCCTTGCTAGCTGGGTCATTCATAGGATTGCACCCTAACAGCCTGAGCTACAATTCAGGAAGTCATTGAATTTCACCTCCTGGATTGGTCTACAAGGCTTCATGTAACCTACAGATTTTCTGCCCCAGTCTTATGCCTACAGTATAAGAAGAATAATATGTGAGTTGTGTTATTGCGTTGTTGCAAAATTATAAGGAGATCAAATACATGAAGAACCTTTAATATTCAGAACTGCTACATAAGCATTAAATGATTTATTACTGATAATATAATTGTATCACACAAACAGTGACACTTGGCAGGCTGGCACGATCCTGGTTACACTGGACACTAATCCTAGGTGATCTGGAAGGGATGGTTTAACTTGGTGTCCTGCAGCAGCAGGAGGTTGGACTCAATGGCCTTTTCACCCCTTCCCACTCTATTCTATGATTCTATGAAGATACATGAATGTTTGGACCCACCAATTTTCAGCACCAAAAGGGTTAAATTTATCCTTTTCATGACATTTGCTACCGCTCCATAGAGCTAAAAGGTTCACACACAGCTTCAGTGGCAGCTCCATCGTGCTGAAAGTACCAATGGGGCAGGGGAGTAATTATTATCTCTTGCCAATGCCTCTGAATTCAACACCATTGAGGTGGGCAGCAGGCCCACAGGTTGCCCACCCTGATATAAACCTCAAAGCAAAATCCGATTCAAAACAAGTGCTTTTCAGATGAAAGAGCTGAGCGTGCCATCTCATTTCCTCTTTTGGGCAGGTGGCCGAACCATCAGAAATCCAAGGCACAAGACTGCAGTTCATGGAGAGCTGCACAAGAGCCTATCTCCAGTGGATGAGCTGCCTTCCTAAGACAGCCTTCTTCAACATGGTGCCTCCAGATGTTGTGGACTGCAACTCTCAGAACTCCTGACCATACTGGCTACAGTCAATGGGAGCGGAAGACCAAAACAACTAGAGAATGTCACATTGATGGGAGGGAATCTGAACGTACAGGAATACTGAACCAAAAAGGCCAGAAGAAGTGACTGAGAAAGGAAATCTGCTTCCTTTTATCAACCTGATTAGCAAATTAATCTATATCCACACACAGATAACTGTCCCTGCTAACAAAGATTGCACGACTGTGTTTTGGAAGAAGGCAATCTAAAGACATGCTAGTTGGGCAGCCTGGAAGCTTTCCAACCTGGAGTAAACATTAACCCAGGAAGACACTGCGACCACAGTCCAACACAGAGGTGTGCATAGACTGCTTGCTTTACTGGGCTTACACACACATAACTCGTTACTGGATGGTGGCCCTGTGATTTGACTGGAATTAACCTTTAACAAAGCTTCAAATACAGGAGAATGCACTGAAAGCAGCACTTAGTGGGTGAGCTACAGAGTTTGTTTTAAATCCTGGTGACATCATGTCAGTAGAAAGCCTTTGACTAGGAGGGAGGAGGGAGTCAGAGAGAAGAAAAATAACATAATGTAGGAAGATTCCAATTAATAAAATGAAATAAATGAACTATCTTTTAAGGGATAAAATCAACACAAAAATGCAGAAGCTAGATGATAATGGATTAAGTGCAGGAAAGTAGCTGATCATTTTGAGCTGTATTCTGTAAGCAGAAGCCAAAGCTACTGCATATCCTGGCAACAGAGCTAGAAACAAACAGCATCAACATTATTGCAGTTAGGGTGCTCATACAATGCCATCCGTGTAGGTTTCATAGGTCCCTACCCCAAGGCTTTACAATCTAAAAGTAGATACTTCAGGCAGTATCCAATGGAGAACACCCAAGAGTACCCAACCCCACTGATTCGCTTCTTCAAGTGATGTCCCCCATGAAAACAGAATCATAGACTACTAGAACTGAAAGGGGCCAGAGGTCCATCGGACTGCTCAGTGCAGGACTCCAAGTTAAACCAGCCTCTCGGATGGCTGTACAGCTGCATCTTGAATGCCTCTGAATGTGGGAGAGCCCAAACCAGCCTAGGGGATTGGTTCCATCATCATACCGCTCTAAACAAGAAGGCATTTTTCCTGATATCTAGCTGGAATCTGGCTTCCTGTAACTTGAGCCTTTTATTCCATGACTTGCACTCTGGGATGATTGAGAAGAGAAGAGATTATGTTTATTTATTTTTATTTCATTTATTTATTTGGGTATTTTTACCCCGTCCAATACATTGTGAGTCTCTGGACAGCTTACAAGTCAAAATCCAATAAATACATATAAACCCAAATAATACGAAATAAGCCATGACCGAGCATAAAACATAGTTAAAATATTAAACATTAAAATCACAGAAAAATAAAAAAGGTGTTCTTCCTCTTCCTTTCAAGTACTTGCACAGTGCTATCATATCTCCCCTCAGTCTTTTCTTCTTAAGGCTAAACATGCCCCTTTCAATCTCTCCTCATAGAGTTTTGTTTCCAGACCTTGGCTCACCCTTGTTGTCCTCCTCTGATCCCTTCCTGGCTTGTCTGCATCTTACTTAAACTGTGGTACCCAGAACTGGACACAGAACTCCAGATGAGGTCTAACCTGTGCCAAGTAAAGGGGAACTAGTAATGCCCAGGACTTGGAAGTGATACTTCTATTAATGCAGCCTAAAATAGCATTTGCCCCTTTTGTAGCCACATCACATCGTTGACACATATTCTCATACTTGTGATCTACAGCAGTTCCTAGATCGCTCTCACATGCAGTATTGTGGAGCCAAGTATTCCCCATCTTGGAACAATGCATTTAGTTTCTTTTTCCTAGGTGCAAAGTTTGGCATTTGTCCCTAATGAATTTCATTTTGTTGTTCTCAGGCCAGTGCTTCAACCTATCAAGATCTCCTTGAATGTTCTTTCTGTCTTTTTCTTTCTTCATTCATTCATTTCAAGCTTTTATAGACCATCAGAAAAGCCACACGACTCTCTGGCCACTTCACAGCATGCTGTGAACTGTCCAGAGCTTTTCTCCCACTCAGTTTTGTGTCATCTGCAAATCTACCAGATCGTTGCTGAACTTCCTCATCCAAATCATTAATCAAAATGTTGAAGAGCACTGGGCCCAGGACTGAACCCTACAGTAGCCCACTTGAGAGGAGATGTGATATGACAGTCCCAGAGCTGGAGCAGTGTCAGAACCTTTCAGAGGGCATATCGGGGGGGCTTTGGAGCTGGCAAGGTTAGCATCACCCTTGGTGGGTCCTCAGCTTGCCCAGATTCCTTTTATACAATCCACAGGACACCTGCACTGCCCAGGGACTAGTCTTCAAATGTCCATAGTCCGTATTGCAGCCAGTTTTGTGCCCTTGGCTTGTGGGTCTATTTGCAAACATTGCCTGTATTAAATGTTCTTTGCCAAGGTACTTAGCAGCTGTGCTTGATATTAACATGGCTCCATGACTGTGCCATATGTTGGTGTTCTTGAAATGGGCTGAAACTTCCTACAGAATGCTGTATACTCACCTTTATTGGAGCCAGCCTACTTTGTCATGGTATTATTTATTTATTTAGAATATTTATATGCCATCTTTTGCAATAGCCTCAGGACAGTTTACAAAGATAAAATACAAATATCACCAAACATAAATAAATTATCAACCCACTCTGGCTGTGGTTAAAATATAATGGTAAAAATACAATATTAAAACTTATTAAAAGGTTGATCAAATAAAAAGGTCTTAACCTGGCACTGAAAAACATATAATGACGGCGCCAGGCGGACCTCTCTGGGGAGCGCATTCCATAGACAGGGCGTCAGCACAGAGAAGGCCCTCCTCCGGGTACTCACCCTCCTAATATCTTTGACCGAGGGTTCCCGGAGGAGGGCATCTGCTGCCGATCTCAGGGGGCAGGAGGGCAAATAGGGAAGAAGGGGTTCCTTTAGGTATCCAGGTCCCAAGCCATTTAGTGCTTTATAGGTAATAACCAGCACCTTGAATTGAGCCCGGACTTCGATAGGAAGCCAGTGGAGCTGACGGAGAACTGGGGTAACACCCAGTCCCCGTCAGCATCCTGGCAGCTCTGTTTTGCACCATCTGAAGTATCCAGACTGTCTTCAAGGGCAGCCCCACGTCAAGCACGTTGCAGAAATCCAACTGGGAAGTAACCAATGCGTGTGTCACCATCGCTAGGCAATCTTCCTAGATTGCCTAGACAGTACCTCTAGACAGCACCCCTTGATTGTTCCAGGTAATGCTGCAGTGGAGCCAGGGCTCACAAAGATGTGGCGCAGCATCTTTCAAGTAGCAAGCATTGTTGTGCTTGCTGCTTGAGTGGGGTCAGCCCCACTTCCCAGAGCTTCTCATTCCCTCTGAGCTTAGCTGCAGTCCTAAGAGTAGCTGGGGGTGGGGAAGATCACTTTTTCCTGACAACAGTGAAGACCCATTAGCTTAACAAGTGATCTCCTCCTCCTGGAGATGAAAACTACTAGGATAGGTTTTTCCTACGGATCAGAACAGATGCCTGCATTTTTGGACATGCACCTATGAACATCAAAATGTACTACTGCACCCCTGGCTACAGGTAAAGGAACTCCTTTGGGAAAGGTGTGTGATTCAACTAGAACCAGTCAGAAGTCCTATGTTCCCAACTCTGGTTTGTGAGTCAATGATATTTTGCAGTGAAGATAACAGTTTTCTAATTTGAGCGGCACAAAGCAACAGCTGCCTTCTATATACAGCTTTTGGACACATGTCAAGAATACCAGATACATTTGTTAGCATCTCATCCTGGCAGGTGGCCCACCAGAGACAGTGTTTTGCCTAAGTAGCAGGAGAAGTGTCCTGAAATTGGCCAGCTGCTGGATGTGGAGTACTCGAGGGAAAATAGCCACTTCCACTATCAGTCAGGTTTATCTTCCAAAACTGACCATTGCCCTGGGTCCACTGCAAGGAAAATAATGCTTTGAGCCAAAAGAACAAGAGCCACCCATGACTACTCAAGCAAAAAGTCCAGCCTGGCCTGAAGCACACTTCCAACTCCCCACCTTGTTCTGGCCTTGAAAGACTGGTCTCTCTCCTCTTCCTTTCTGTTCCACTCCCCTTCCTTTGTGTGCCTTGTCACTTCAGTTTGTGAGCCTGATGGCAGATGGCCTGTCTCTCCTTTTGATTGATGAGAGCCATTTTGGGACACTATACTTGCCCGAGAAGCAGGATTAAAAAAGCATCAAATAAATAAATAAATAGACCTAAAGACACATAATATGGCAACTGTTCAGCGTATTGGTTTGACACTAAAAAAAAAAAAAAGGAGCAGATGGTGGCCCTGGAAATTGGAGCCACATTTTCCTTCAAGACAAGCTACACCATGAGAGAGAAGCCGAGAGAACATCCCTGCCTTCTCATACAAATTGTCCTGTCTGGCTCCTATATGGAGTGGTAGGGCTGCCAACAGCTAAAGTAACCTTGCCTCTGTATCATCAGGCATTGACCTTAAACACTTAGGTACACTGTCCTTTAGGGCTGTGCAGCCCACCTGACCAGTGGGCAGGTGGAAGAAAGCATTCTTATGGAACATATATTTCTGTCCTGCCTGTTTCCCTCTTGCAAGGAACCCAAGGTGGCTTACAGAGTCTATCCTCTCCACTTTATTCTGACAACATTTCTGTGAGGGAGGTTAGGCTGAGAGGCTGTGACTGGCCCAAAGCCGCCCCATGAGCTTCATGGCCAAATGGGGGCTGAACTGGGGTTTCCTGAGTTCTAGCCCGACACTCTACTTCACATTCATTCTCTGTGTCAAACAGCTGATGATCAATACCATTATATCTAAGATTACTTGCTTCACCCAAGCAGAGAGTTGTGGTTATTCTCCTGTAGATGATGACAGAGTGAGAAGTGACTGTAAACCCCAGGGATATGGGAAGGCAGAGATCCTGGGAGATGCAGCTAACCCCACACCCACCCTAGTTTGCGGAACCGCATACTTGTGAAGGGTCCTTTCCGCCTCAGGGTCCTGTTGGGCCTTCTTGCCACCATGCAATGCTAAGGGTCCTTGGACGGCGGGCACTTCACGGGGGGGGGGATGAACGCGGAGCCCAGCTTGCGAAAGCAACGGGTGGGAATGGCTCTCCGCCACCCGCCACCCCAACGAGCTCCACGGCTCGGCAAAAGCGCGCATCGCCGCGGGCACCTCCGTCACAGCCTGGGCGAAGGCGGAAGCGCGGCAGGTTTCAGCACCCTGGACAGCAGCGGCTTGCTGGAGGGGCCCCCAGCCCCGCGCAGCCAGTGCGCCCGCTCGCTCCCTCCCTCCCTGCGCACCTTTCTGGATGAGCTCCTCGCTCTCCGGCTCGAAGCCCGCGCGGTGGCAGCGCCGCCAGAGGCCGGAGACGGTGGAGTTGAAGCGGCGGCCGCAGGGAGACTCCAGGTACAGGGCGGCGGCGGCGGCGAGCGTGGCCGGCGGCGGAGCGCGGCCGGGCAGCAGGGCCCGCGGCGGGCGGGCGCGGAGGGGCAGGTGCGGGCTGGGCGCTGACATGGAGCCCGGAGGGTCGCTGTTGGCGTGGCGCTTGTGCCCGAAGCTCCGGCAGCGCTCGCGGTGCCTCCGCGCGTCCGTCTCGTACCAGGAGTCGGTGCCGATGGCCACGGCCAGCAGAGCCAGAGCGGCGGCGGCCAGCAGCAGCCCCGAGCAGCTCAGCGCCTGAGCCGCGGCCGCCATCTTCCCCGCGCCGCCCGCCACTGCTCCCCCTGCAGCCCGGCCGGGGGGCCGCACCGCCAGCCCAGCGAGCCAGCCGCGCCTGATGCTCGCTCGCTCGCTCGGCGCGGCTCGGCGCGGCGCCGCCTGCCGCGGGAGGAGGCCCGCGGGGCTCCGGGCCGGCGGACGCGGGACCAGCGCCCGGCAGCTGGGCCGGGACTCGCAGCGGCGGCGGCGGCGGCGGCGGCGGCTGAAGGGGAGAGAGAGGCCGCCCCCGCGCCCTCCAGCAGCCCCTCCTCAGCCCGCATGGCCGGAGGCGGCTGCTTGAGCTGGCCCTCTGGCACGAGCCCTGCCTAGTTCCAGCCCTCCGCCTCGGAAAGGCCCGCATTAAGCTCCCGGCATGGGTGTTCCGCATCGGGAGGACTCTGCTTTGGAAAGGCACTGTGGCACAGTGGTGAGAGTGTTAGGCTGGGACTCGGGAGATCCCGCTTCTAGTCCCCAGTCAGGCAAGAAGCTCATTGGGCGACTTTGAGCCAGCCGCAGACTTTCGCCCTCACAGCGTTATTGTGAGGAGAGCATGGAGAGAACGTGGATTGCACTGCCCTGGGTTCCTTGCAGGAAAAAAGGCAGGTTAGCAGCAGCAGCAGCAGCAACAGGAATCCACCCCAGACTGACATTCTAAGCAAACAGCAAACAGCCTTGGTCCCCTCCAGGTGCCTTGGACTACAAACCCCATCAACCCCAGAAAACATGGCCATGATGGGAGTTGCCATCCCACACATTTGCAGGGTAGCAGGTTGAGGATGGCTGAAATCTTACACTTGACCCAACGCCAGTGCTCCGGTGCATTGCTCTAAATGCAGCACTGCCACCATGTGGCGCGAAGCAGTGCTGTGGGAGTCATGGTGAGTTTACCAGGGCAAAAGCACCTGCTGACTTCGAGGGGGGTCTCTACTTGAGGGGTGGCCCTGCACTGCCCTGGTGAGAATTGTTTCCACGGATGGTGGCTCACGAAGCTGCCTTCTATCCAGCCAGCCCACTGGTGCTTCCGGTCTAGTGTTACTTGCTCTGACAGGTGGGCAATAGCCGCTCTTTGTCAATCTCATATAGTGAAGGCTTCCCTAGCCCTGCTAATGGGGATCTTTTACCTGGGCCTGACAAGGGTTGTATGCCAAACAGGTGCTTTCACTCCGCACCATGGCGGGCCCCTCCCCTCCTGATCCTTGCTCATTTATGTATTGCTTTAAAGCATCTCTCTCTGATATAAAAATAGCCCAGGGGAAAGGGCACTGCTATTAGCTGAGCTTCCAATGCTTAAAATGTGTCCAGGAAAACAGGTGTACACTGTATACACATAATTCCTGCAACCTGTTCAGTCCTGGTGCTTGGTGAGCTGCAGAGAGCTCATGATGCCCATTTCTCTGAGCACCACAGTTTCCATGCTTTGGCACACAGATAATTGGGGGGGGGGGCGGCACCTGTGGAACATGAAAAAAAGGAGAAAGGATAATTTTATGAAAGTACATTGTCTACTCTTTGGGAATTAGAAATGTTGTTGCTCATCCTCTGTAGCGGGTGCCCATTCGCAGGGATGCAGAACTGCAGGTCCAGGCACCAAATCAAGACTGCCTGGAGTTCTCTAGAAAGCCATGGCTCTTTCCTTGATCATCAATCATTTGGTGGGTTTCTGGCATTTATGTAGCTTTTCCTCTAATAAAAGATTCAGATTCCTGTCCTAAGGCTATAGGGTAGCAGTAAGAACTTTTCACTGGTACTTGAGGGGATTTCAGCTCCACCCTTTTTGCCTTTAGCCAGGTCTTTTTTTGCCTAAGGCTCACCCACTGTTGGCATGGAACCCCCACGTGCTTCTCCAAAATGGAGTTCAGGCCTCAGGCCAAAAGAAGTTCAGCAGCCCTATTCTTATGCAATTCTTCCCCCATCCCAGATAGGATTGATGTCAAATTATCAGGGTGAGTGGAGCTCTTTCCCTGTTATTTATTTCTGTACCACCCAATAGGTGAAGCTCTCTGGGCAGTTCCCTACAGCACATTTAAAAAAAAAAAGATACATTGTATAAAAATATCAAAGCATCATTAAAAGTTTACAATGCAAAATTTAAATCCACATATTAAACAAGTTAAATGTGTGTGTGTGTGTGTGTGTGTGTGTATGGAGATATATAACTTAAGAGGAGGAGGAGGAGGAGGAGGAAGATTCAGAGCTGTTAGCAGCTAGCAGGTCCCAGAAGCTACCTGAATGCCCTGCAGTAGGGGATGGTCTTTACCTGGTGCTGAAAAGTTATTAATGTTGGCACCAGGTAGAACTCAGTGAGGAGCTTGTTCCATAACTAGGGAGCCACCACTGAAAGGGCCCTTTTCCTTGTTGCCACCAACCAAGCCTCCCTTGGAGGCGGCAAGTGGAGATGGCCCCCAGAGCTAGATTGTAGTGTCCAGGTAAAGAAGGTTGGGAGAGGCATTCCATCAGGTATCATGCTCCCAAGCTTTAGAGGTTAAAACCAGCACCTTGAAAGAATATAGGCAGCCAGTGCAAGAGGGTCAGAATTGGTGTCACATGAACAGATCATCTGAGCCTTATTATTAGTCTGGCTGTTGCATTTTGCACAATTTTGCTGCAATTTGCAGCTTCTGAGCAGTCTTCCAGGGCTGCCCATGTAGAGTGTATTGTGGTAACCTAACTTAGAGATTACCAGAGCACAGGGCACTGATAGCAGGCTGTCTCTGTCTAGATAGGGGCATAGCTGAGCAACCGGCTGAAGCTGGGGAAAGACACACCGAGCCACTGAAGCCACCTGTGCCTCAAGTGACAAAGATGGCTCAAGCAGCACCCTCAAGCTACAAACCTGCTCCTTCAAGGGGAGCACAACCTCATCTAGAACAGGTTGAATTTCTTCCAACTGGTTAGAACAAGTACCCACCAATAGCATCTCAGTTTTTTCTGGATTGAGCTTCAGTATCCATCCGTTACTGCAGCCAGGTGCTGCTTCAGCCCATCCACAGCCTCACCTGCTAAGGATGCAAAGGAGAGATAGAGCTGTGTGTCATCAGCATATTGATGACAACGAACTCCAAAACTCCGGTTTCATGTAGATGTTTCATGTAGATGTTAAACTACATGGGGGACAATACTGACCCCTGAGGAACACCATGCTGGAGATCCAAGAGGCAGAGCAATATCCCCCAGGCACCATCTTCTGGAGCTTGCATCCAAGTTGGAGCAGAACTACTGCAATACTTTGCTCCTCACTCTCAGCTCAGACAGTCGCGCCAGAAGAATACCATGGTTGATGGTACTGAAAGCTGCTGAGAGGTCCAGGAGAACCAACAGGGTCATATTTCCCCTGTCTCTCTCCCAGCGTAGGTCATTACACAGGGCAACCAAAACTACTTCCATGCCAAATCAAGGATTGAATCCTGACTGAAATGGATCCAGATAATTAGTCTCATTCAAGAGTGCTTGGAGCTGCTCAGGAACCTTGTCCACAAAGGGAATGCTAGCCACTGGCCTAAAATGGTTGAGGGCAAGGGGGTCCAGGGCAAGGAGCTGTCTTACTACTGCTTGTTTCAGGTGGCCGGGGAATCACTCCTTGTAAAGAAGCATTTTATTAGCCAGGAGGGGCAAGGAACCTGTATGGGCATGGTTGAACAACCTGTCCAACACCTTGTCAACATCCTCCAGCTGTACGAACGGGAATTCATTCAACATAACTAGATCAGACTGTGCTCTTGATATCTCACCCGATTCCATTGCTATAATATTAGAAGTAACATTGCTGCCCCTAAGATCGGCAGCAGAGGCCCTCCTCTGGGAACCCTCTTTGAAAGAGGTCAGGAGATAGAGTGCTCGGATGAGAGCCTTCTCTGCAGTGCCGCCCCAACTATGGAATGCGCTCCCTAGAGAGGTCCACCTGGCTCTGTCGTTATATGCTTTTTGGTGCCAGGTCAAGATCTTTTTATTTGACCAATATTTTAACATATAGTAATTTTAATTGTGCTAGATTTATTTAATTTATTTTAAATAGGTTAGTTTTATGCTCAGTGTGCAACAGGTAACTTATTTTATTGAGGATTGAAATAATGTTGTAAGCCATCCAGAGATGACAGTGATGGACAGCCTACAAATTTTCTAAATAAATAAATGCACGTCCTGGAGAATATAAGAGAATTTGCCTCAGAAGTGCCTAGCGAATATTTTACAGTGGGCATCAGATGGCATCAAGATGTCCTTGAGCCACCATGTAATATGTCCCAGGCAATCCTGGAGAGCTCTCCTGGGCAGTGAATAGAAGATTGAATGGAGACAGTCAGATATTACTTCTTTGTTGCTCTCACTGCCTCCAAATATATTCAACTGTAAGCCAAAACCAGGACTTGATTATATTCACTAGGCATTCTCCTGAATAATTTCATAACTCTCCGCCCTGAGATATTTCATGGTGCTACTTCAGAGGAGGCACTCAGGCCCAATTGTGTCAACCACCTAAGTCATCTCTGTGTTCCAGTGATCAACCCGGGATTTGACAGGATCACCAGCTGTATCAGCTGGAAAATTCTCCAGAGCTCTCTGGAAAACATCTGGATTTATCAGCATCTCTGGGTGTACCATCTTAAATGATCCCTCACACCTGCACAGGGGAAGTCACTCTTAGTCCAAATCTCAACAGGTGGTGATCTATCTGAGCATGACAAGGGGACCAATTCAAGATCACTATCCCCCTGGACAACTGGGAAAAAGAAAGAATCTAGAGAGTGCCCCAATGCATGTGTTGAGCCAAAAACATGTTGGGACAGCCCCATGGTTGCCATGGAGTCCGTGAAATCCTGAGTCAGAAGAGAAATCCTATAGACCATAGCAACTCCCCCCCCCCCCCCCCCCCCAGTCTCCCAGTCTACCATGACTGCTGTAGCAGGTATCCGGATGGGCAGAGCTGGGAGAGACTCCCCCCGCCCACACACACATCTTGGTTATGCATGCCAGAACAGCCACCTCATCCACTATTAAAGCATGGATGAGAGAGGTCTTGTTGTGCACAGATCTGGCATTCAAAAGCAGCATCTGAGGACACAAAGGCAAGCTGAGAGCGCAACCACTGAACCTGTGGTTGGCAGCAGAGCTGGAACATGATACAGTCATTGACTGGGATGTGTTCCCCTTACCTGGCTAGCCCTTCACCCAATGCCATATCTCCAACTGCCTGTCTGTGTGCTAATTACCCCATCAGCACCCCCTCCCCCCACTTATTATTAACTGTATTGGTATTAGAAGTAATTAAGACATTTAGGGCATTTTAGTTTAGTCAGATAAGGAATAAAAATTACAGAGGTTTATAATATAATGCATGATATGTAAAGAAGGGACTGAGAAATGTTTCTCATAACAGCTCCGTGAACTTGATTGGCAGTAGCATTCAGGTCAGGAAAATACTTTTTTACCAAGTGCATAATTCAGTTATGGAATGTACTGCCGCAAGATCTGGTGACGGTCTCTAGTTTAGCTGACATTTAAAAAGGGATTAGGCTCGTCCTCCATGAATAACTATGTGGAAGCTCTGCTATGGGGTGGGGGACCTCAGATGAGATCAGAGGTTTTACAACAATGGGGCAGAGCCTCAGCTCAAGGGTCCAATACTGCCTGTGGGCATGTCACAGATGGCCACACCCCCTTCCTGCCCCCCCTCATTTCCCCCAAACACCAACCACCTAGCTGTTTTGTGCACTCCCCCCTCCCACACTTAAAACATTGAAACGCTTGCACGAAGTCTGAATTACTGGCAATAACCCCCTCCTCAACACACACCTCCTTCCCCATTACAGGATAGGACTGAAGGGGGCTGTCAGCCAAAATATCTAGAGGGCCCTAAGTCACCTGCCCATGAATTAGGTTCCTATTAGGGGGCTGGTATGCTCAAGGCGAAAAGAAAGCATATAGAGCTAACATTCTTGAAACAATGGGCCAGACTTTTTCACCCATCAGCACAGCAGTCACTTTCCCTCAACGCCCTTGAGGGAGCCTGGCTGCTTGGCTTCTGCTCCTATTCATACTATTCACTCCTCACATTTGGAATGGAGAATATTCACGGTCCAATTGATTGTCTCTGTGGGTTTGTTTGCATTTCCCTGTGGCTCAGCTCCACCGCTTCAGTCATCCAGAGCTCATTCTTTTAAAATGAGGGATTAGACACATCTGTGAATGAAAGCTGTTGAGAGATCTATAAGCCTTGATCACTACATGGAGAGATTCGATGATCAGAGACAGAACAATGTGAATATAAGATGCTGGTGACAAACATGGAGGAGGGGGGACCTTTTGCCTTCCTAACTCTGCTTACAAGCTGGAAAGTCATGGCCAGTGGTACCACGGTTAGAGCATTGAACTGGGGCTTGGTAGACTTGGATTCTTTTCCTACTTGGCCATGAAGCTCACTGGATGATTTTCGGCCAGTCACTGACTCTCAGCCTAATATACATCTTACCTACGTGCAATGTTGTTGCCAGGATAAAACTGAGTGAACGGTCATCTTTGTCAGGATGGACTCCTTGGAGGAAAGTTGGGCTATAAAGGTACCAAATATATACAATAATTGTTTGAAATTGGATAGTGAGACCTTGGTTTGATCCAGCAGGATATTCTTGTTAACAAGCTTCTCCCCACCCCTGGAACGGACTTAGTCTGTGCTTATGCCATACTGTGGTATGAATTCTTGCCCTGTGGAGTGAAGGGTGGGGTAAAAGTGTACTGTGACTTAGGTGATCATGCTTTGGAGCAGGGACTGGACTGGAACCATTTGTCATATTTCAGTTGGGTTTGATGACTCTATACCAATACAAAAGAGTCCACACTCATATCACTGTTCTGACATTGTTTTTTAATTTCATCTCTATTGCCTCCATGCAAAGTAGATCAATACAGATGAATGAGAATGCACAAGAGACAGTGCAAAATAAAGCTAGAAAAATAGGATTCTCTCTGCATTTCCTAAAGTGACAAATACGTGGAGATAGGAACTGTACTTCCCACCAGATCATGTGCATAACACTGCCAAGCTGGTGCCAAATGCAGTAGAGGCCTCCTCCTCCTCCTGTGAACCCCGAATGGCCACTTTAGGTGAAGCTTTGAAAGATCTGCAAAGTCTATCCAGGCAGCCTGGGCTGCAAGCCAACAGCAACAACTCACAGATTAATGAGTCAATGTCACCCACTTTGCATTCCTGAACCGTGAGCAAAGAATTCCTGCTGTAGCTTGCAGCCTACGCCAGACCCACCCCTGATGCAAATAACATGAGCTTCTGTGTACTCGTCCTGGGAATGCACCAAAGCCTCTTACCGACGCCAACCAGAGTGTTCAAGAAAACAAATATTCTTGGAAAATATCAAATGCCATGCCCTGTGTGGCTCTTTTACCTCCTCCAAGGAGGCCTGCTAGCAGCCCTGTCCAGACAGGAGTAAATTCAGCTGTGGCAGATTAGCATTCTAAAGCATCACTAAGTGCCTAATGCCAATTAATCAGGATGCCTCAAAGAGGAAGGGTATCTTTGGGGGAATAATCTTTTTCTGGAGCTGAACGCCTAACAGCTGAGAACAGCTGTTAAGGAAAGACAACTTTTGAAGGGCAAAGAAAAAGAAAGGCGGGAGGAGAGACAAGAAAGATAGCATGTTTCATGATTAAAGCCAATGAGCCACATTAGCTGCATTCATTGGTGCTTTGTGGGAGAGGCAATTGCATTTTTCCTCTGTATGGCAAACACCCTTTAGCTACTGTCACCAAACCAAATTCATGGCATTTTTATTCTAGAGATGTTTTTTCACTTCAATGTGACAGAAAGCTGGCGTGCGGTTATCCATCCCTCCTTAAACTGCGATGGCTGTCCAGAAAGGGACAGAGTGCTGGATGGCAGCTGCCTGCTTGTCCCACAGATTGTTCTGGCCAGTTTGCATCCTAGAAGTCACTCGTACCACATCAGACCATGTTCAGGGCACTGCGCATGAGGCTGTCCTAGGGGCCCAGTGAGCAATGGTGCAGAGCAGTCTCAGGGACTGGAGCCCTCGGTGGAGTTCACACAGTCCTGATGATCGATCTGAGGACTCTAGTCTCTGAGCGCAAAGATACATCCCAAGCCCATGGGAGAAAACCCTCAAGAACTTATTACAGTCTGAACTCATCTGACCTTCCCTTTAAGCATCTCAAACGTCATCATGGACAGCCTTATTGTAACAACCCAAACCAAGTGGGTACGTCACCCTCCAGTCTCATTAAACATCCCTCTCCACTGCGCTCCTAAACTGTGCCAGAACCATCCCAGAAATGACACCCTAAGGTGTCGACTGGAGTGGGAAGAGCAGCACAGCCTGCAGGAATGCTTTGGAAGAGAAACGGGGCACCGAGATAGTAGCAGGCTGGGGACGGCGGGGGCCCACTGCGGCTCGTTCCAGAACAGCGAGGTGAATTCCAAGGAAGAGGCTGCTCAGAAAATGGGTGCTGAATTGCAAAAAGGTGTTCAAACACTGAGGAGTACAGATGCATGGAGCAAGATGCAGAAAAGGCTGGCCATCTGCTCAATCAGGGAACACTTATTTTTTGCCTGGCCTGGCCTGGAATGGTGAGGCAAATGCTAGGAGCCACTCCACGGGGCAAACAAGGCAGCGACAGAGCCCTGCATTTCCCTTCATGTCAGGCTAATACCAATGCTGCTGCTTTCCCAGCCATCTCTCCTGCTCCCTCTGTCCCCTGATAAGGTGAGGGGTGAAGGGAGGCTCTAACGGTTAGAGTCTAACCCACTGCCAGCCCTCATTTTAAATATAAAGACAATAGATATTCCAGGAAGAGTTCTCCTCAGTGGCCCAGTAGCAATTAGGGCTCTGTTTTTATACGGTCCAATTTGGCGAAGGCAGCATGGCAAAAGAAGTGAATGCCGAAAATCTCGATCCCCCCTGCCTTTTCAGTTTTTTGGCTGTAAAGCAGCTTCTAAGGGGATGGCTTGAAAGTATGTTAAATTCTTAAAAACCAGTATGAGGAAGAGCCAGTTTCCTCTTCCCTGAGACACACTTCCTTTGGCTAAGGAGTTTCCTCTGTGTCCTTGCATAGCTCTTTGCCTGCCTCCTGCCTGGCAAAGCTGCAGAAATCTGTACTTGATTGGTGTGGGATAAGCACAGAATATGCACAGACCTTTCCATTTTCAGGATTTCTTCTCCTTTCCCATTGAACAGGGGTGGGGAGCTTGTGGCCCTCCCAAGTTTGGGGCATTTGCTACATGGGGTGATGAGAGCTGCAGGCTAAAGTATCTGGAGGGCCACAAGCAGCTACAGTTTCTGCTCTTCTCCCACAGATGTGCCAGCAAGGCCTTAAGCATCTCTCTTCCCTCACACTGCTGGTCCATGCTCAGCTACGGCCTCCCAACCGATGTTTTCTCTCACTCACCAGGGTCCGAGCCAGGCCCAGGCTATTTCACAAGCAGCTGCCAAGCAAGCCAAAACAGGAGTGAACGATCTCACCACAGGGAAGGGGAACATGCAGTGCCTCAGCTGTTGCTGCACTGCAACCCCCAACCTGTCTCATCATTGGTTATGGCTGGCCAAGGCCAATGGGAGTCGGAGTCCAGCAATATAGGGAGGGCCACGTGTCCCCCAACAGGGGCTGGACCTGCTAATGTCAAGCTGCCCCATGGCCAGGAAGGATAAGAAACTCTTTCCAAGGGAAACTAGAGGGGAAGCAGGGTAGGACACTCCCTCTGGGGCACTGGTCTCCATTCTGGGCCCCTAGGGGCAGCTGGACTACAACACCCATCAATGCAATGCCATCAATGATGGGAGCAGGAGCCTGAAAACACCTGGGGGCCTGCAGATGAGGAAGGAGAAAGGGTCCTAGTTTGAGACACAGTTAGTGAACAAGGCCTCCAGAAATTTCCGCCACGATCCCTGATTTCAGTACAACACATATGCACCAAAGAAGCCCAGGAAAGGAGCAGCACAGTCCAAAGTGATCTTCAGTTACCAGCTTGGAAAGACAGAGAGGACCAGGCAGGAGAAGACCTTTTCCCAGAAGATCTGGAGAGGTACTCTATGAGGAGGCTGCTGAGCTCAGTGGTGTGTGCAGAAGTGTAATCCCAGCTGCTTCTGTTTCAAGGTGCTTCTCCAGGAGCGGGGAGGGGAAAGACCCCTCTGCACCAGAGGCCCTGACGAGCTGCTGCCAATCAGGGTACAGTACTGGACAAACAGAGTCCGAGGAAGATAGGGCAGCTTCCTATGTTACTCTCAAATCAAACATGGAAAAGGTACCTTGCTGCTGTTTTGAAAAGCCTTTTCCGCTACCTTTGAGCCTGGGGTGGAAGCGCCGTCTGACATCTCTGCCCAGCTACTGCCGTAGTGCCTTTTATTCTGTTCTAGAGGTTTGCCCCAGAGATTCCGGCACATCAGCCTCACCCAGGCCAATCAGCAACACTATCCATGCCACTGAACGCCATTCCTCTCTTCATTGCTACTTTGTTTAAATAGTTTTTAAAAATGCTCACTCGCTCTATCACACACACACACCCCTAGAAAAATACAAACCATCCACACTTCCTTTCCCCAAAACTTTGGAAGTCCTGGTTTCCGACACTTTGAACTTCAGAAAAGTAGTCCAGCATTCCCCACCTCCTCCCCACAAAACAGCCACATGTCCCTTTTCCACCTCTCATGCTAGCAGCCAGATCCACAGTCACACAAGGAAGACAAATCCATGGGTGTCCCTTATTGCTTTGTGACAGTCCTGAATGAAGGCAGCTTCGGGAAGCAGCAGCAGGAGGCCTGAGCAGGAGCAGCTCATTCCGGGGTGAGCGAGAGAAGCACCATGATGATGATGCCTGTACACAGGAGGAGGACGTGTTGCACGGAGTTCCTAGGTGCACGAATGGGGAGAGGGAGGAAAAAAAGAGTATGCGCTGAAGCAAAGCGTGCAATATATTTATCTGAGGTTTCTCTTGATCCTTGTGAGGACCCTCAAGGCAGCTTGTCACTCAGGTGGAAAACTTGTGGTCCTCAAAATGTTTCATGGTCTGTAATACCCATGCTCCCCCACCACTCCGCTGGCTAGAGCTGATGGGAGTAGTAAGCCAAAACATCCAAAGGTCCACAAGTTGCCCACCCCGATCTATAACAGTAGAATGTTTTAAAAGCATTACACCACTGAGAAACTAGCAAAATAACAAAACACGAAGGAAAGCATTATCAGCAGCACAGGCAGGCAAAGTCTGCCAAATAAAGTTTTAAAAGCTGTGATTTATTTTTTGAAAGATGGTAGTCCTCTGGACTTTCTGAGACAATGTTGCACAAGGGGGCTGCAAGAGTGGCGAAGGTCCTGCTTCCTGGCAGTGAAACAGTTCCACCATACCCTGTTGCAAATCAAGCCTAGTTAACTAAGGCCAGTTGTTAAAAAAAGGAGCATTCCTCCTCTCACTCATGCACTCAAGAATCTGCTTGTCCGACTTTCTTCAGAATATCTTATTGGCTCCTATGCTAAGGAAGCAATGTTCTTACACTCCTGCTAATCAAGGCAAGTGATCTTGTTCCTCTGTAACTGTAAAAGCATGATTTCCCCTTTTCTCTCTGCATTCACAAATCCATTTCCTTTCTAAGCTGAAACGCATGTGTCTGATGAAGTGGGCACTGACCCGAGAAAACTTGTCACAATGTATTTGTTAGGCTCTGAGGCAGTGCAGGACTCTCTGCTCTTTCAGCAGCTTGATACTTCCTTCCTAAATAGCCATGGCTGAGACACTTACCAAGGGTCCTTCTCCTCCAGGAGATCAGGCACAACATTCACCAAGGCAATGTATAAGAATCCCCCAGAAGTAAAAGGAAGAATCCAGGCTATGGTTTCCTCTGCGCGGACAACAAGAAGTACGTCAGTGACCAAGAGGTGGCAGAAGAGAACCCCATCCAGGCAAAGCAAGAAGGGACGGGGGATGAATCTCAGTCCGACATCAATCCCCTCTTCAGCCTGTGAGTCTTACCTGTCCCTTTAGGTGACTGGGCACAAATGGCAAAGCAAACGCCAAGAATTCCCCCTAGGGCTGTGGAGAGCTGCAACTTGGCTGCACTCCAGTGATCAAACCCAGCACGCAGGAGGATGACAAAATCTCCGACCTACAAAGACATGAACAACTGAGTACGGCAGCAAGACAGCAAAGCTGAAAATGGTCTCAAAGTGAGCTCCTTCCCATGAGCATCTACAGAAGCAATGCCCAGCCTCAAGAGTTACTATGCGGGCACCTCATGGAAAGGAACATGGAGTTCGCTCGCACGTTCGAGCTTCCAGGAGGGAACAGCTCTTCCAAGTTGTCTGGTTGTGAGAAGGGATTCAGAGGTTCTAAGCAAAGGAAATTGTCACCTTTTGCCATCACCGGCACCATTTTATTTATGCATTCACTTGATTCATTTCATTTCTATACAGTCCAAGGTGAAGCCCTCTGGGTGGTTCACAACAAATCACAAAAATATAAACAAGAAGATAATACCGCATAAAATTGCAATTTACAAAATATATAACAATTTAAACAGCTAAAAACAATTTCAGTAAAATACCAGATGTCTTAAAGATAGCTTATAGAAATGCCTCATCATGTGCCATTACATGCCTGGGAGGGCAGTTGAAAAGATGATAAAAGTGGTACCAGGAGGGCTTCAGTGGGGAGATCATTCTATAATTGGGGACACCACTGAGAAGGCCCTTTCTCATGTTGGCACTTTTGGGCTGGCAGGAAGCTTTGGGGTGAGTGTGGCCGCATTTTATTTATTTATTTATTTATAAAATTTGTATGCCGTCCATTACTTGCGTCTCTGGACGGCTTACAACATAAATCAGAATAAAATAGATAAATTGACTATTCCACGCTGGCTGTAATTAATAAAATACAAACAATAAAATCCAATTACATGTTAAAATATTGCTTAAATAAAATTTAAAAAATTGAGCACATTCATTCTTTCCCTCTCATCTCCTCTGCCTCCTGTCAAATTTCAGTCCCTAACACTTTTTGTGTGGCTTCTGCAAAGCTCCAGGACATTATTATGGGTGCTGTATGGGTGCCCATATTATTTATGCCCTGTCCTTCTGCCAAGCAGCCCAAGGTGATCTGCATGACCCTTCTCTCCATGTCACCTTCACAACAACAACATGTGATCGATTAGGCTGGGTGTCAATGACTGGCACAAAGTTGTGTAGTGTGCTTGATAACCAGTGAAGCCTAGAAGCCAGCCTCTTGGAAAAGTCCCAGCCTCCCAAACAAGACAAGGCCTCTGCCCAGCTTCCCTACAGACCTCACTCACCTCATGGGGTATTTCATGCAGAAGGATTGCCAGGGTGGTCAGGAGCCCAACCTGCAGCCAGTGAGAGAAACTGGTTAAAACCATCTATGCAGCCCACAGGCCTCTATGAGCAGCAACGCAAGATTCCTCCCTATCCCTTTGGCATGCAGCCAAAGGGGATGCTGACCCCTCCTGGGTGAGGACCAAGGCGGCCTGAGAGCACCACCAGCAGGGGTGGCAGAAGGGCGTTCAATACTGCATTTTAAAGGAAGACTCCTGAGGACAGAAGCTCCATTGGCCCTCTATATGCAGAGCGACTTCAACTTCCATCAGCCCTGGCCAGCATGGCCAGTGGTCAGGAGTCCACAACATCTGAAGGACCACCTGCTTCTACAGTCCTGTGCTAAAGAGTAAAAGTGTTAGCAAACCCAATACAGTCGAACCTCGATTTCATGGGTTTAATGTTCATGGTTTTGATTATTCATGAGTTTGCCATCAATAATTAAATGGAATCATTTTTGGAGTTTTGCCATCTTTTCTTAAATGCAAGTCATATGCCGATATATATGGGTATTTTTCTGAAACAGACCCCCTGGTCACTTTTCCACAGATAATGACTGTATATATCGGCATATAATATGACCCCTGAAACCAAAAATAGCAAAAATAACCCCATGAATGTGGAGGGCCAACTGTACACAGGAACAGCACAAGACCGGTTCTAACACCAGCCTATAGCATCTGGATGTGGAAGAGTCCCACAAGTCTCTTAAAAAGGGAGCTTACCTTTCTGCTCACGAGGAAGCTTGCTGCCACTGCCAGACCATGTGTGAAATTATCAATTGTGTTGGCCACAAGATTGAGGTATCCGCTGATCTACAGGGGGATGAGGAGGTCAGCGGCAGGGTGGCAGAGGGGAGAGAGGAGAAAAATGTGAGGCTCTGTTTATCATGAAGAAACAATGGATACAACATAGGAAATCCAAGCCGACACACCGACCTTGATTTTTGGAGCTGATGGTGAAGGAAAATGAGAAGAACCATTACGCTGAGCTGCACCCAACTTCTTTCTGTGGGCTGGGCCAGCTGCCTCCTGCACAGAGACGCTCCTCCCATTGGGAATCCTTTGGACAGGTGCCCTGGGATCACCAGCCTGTGACAGAGATGGGGCAGTTCCTTTTCCATGTCCTACAAACACCGATTACTCATTCCCTTCAGAGTGTGCTATCCTAAACTAATTCCGGACTGGCTCATCATCGATGAGGAAAGACGGTAACAGAAAGGTTTACACGAAGCCCAGTTGCCCTTGTAGCAAGTATTTAATGAAGGGAATACTTATGCCCGCCTTCCCCACCCTCCAGATGTGCTTAAGTACAACTTCCACCCTGCCAGTCAGCATGATGATGAGGGGAGTTGCAGTCCAGCACGGCTGGATCAGGCTGGGTGACAAAAGGCTGCTTTAGGCAAAGATGCACAGGTAAGAGCACTCTGTGTCTACTTCGCTCCTACAACAGACTCTCAGAGGCCCAGGCTGCTGTACAACCCCCACTACTGCACCCACCCACCCACACGCACAAACACGCACAATTACAGTCCTGAAAATTCCACACTTTGACATGTGCGTGGTTTATGCCAAGTGCAGAGGCTGTGGGAGGAGATAAAAATCCCTGGTGGCATCTTGGGTGATGGGCCCAGTCCATCTCCTCTCTCGAGCATGGCTCACAGAACTGCATGGGCAACAAGGCCTGGTGTGAGCACCTGGGATCGAGCCCTTCCCTCTCCCGGCTGGGTCCTCGCCCACTGACTCCAAGGGAGCAAGCCCGAGAGGCAGGGAAAAAAGTCGCACACACATTTCTGAGGTCAAAGGGCACTCCCACCCCCATGCCATCTCCAGGCCAGGCTCATGCGCTCCTCTCATTGTCCACTCACCAAGCTGGAGCTCCCTCGCTTTTCAGTGTCTGGGAACATCTTTTCTAGGCTCAGGAAGGTCAGCAAGCCAATGATCACCCAGAGCCCCAGAAGCTTCTGCTGATGGAAACTCTGCCCTCTTCCTTGAGTTGGTGGGTACAGGGAAAAGAAAGAAACAAGGTAGAGCAAACCATTCCTATTATGAGACTTGTAAATACTGGGAGATCAAGACTGTTCCCCCGAGCTGTAAGGCACACCAAAAGAAAGCTGACCCTGCAGACAACCTCTCAGTGACTTGGTTCACACATTACAGCAACCAAAAGTATCCACTGTGTATGAGTTGCCATTGAATTGTGGTTTGTTGTTACATGCAAATCCTGCACTATGGTTTAATTAAGTTAACCAAGAATAAACCAGAGTTTACAAGCTAGCAAAAAATCTTGGGTTCTCTTCCCAATTGTTGGTGGTTAGCAGCCCATAATTAAACCAGGTGGTGGGCTTCACACGTGATGCCAGTTCACAAGTCGATGATCATCGATACGCAACCCATACTTTGAGTTGCTGTCATGTGTGAACCAGGCCATTGGTTCATCAGCACAAAAGGCAAACTTGGTTCTAGTACAGCATCTTTTCCCACCTTGATGCCCTCCAGACGTGTTGGCCTACAACTCCACCCTCCACCAGCAGAGCTTTTGCAGCCTTTTTCCTTAAGTTCGTTAACATTTGAAAAATAGCCAAATGTGGCATTTTTGTAGTGATAGGACCAACTGCTGTACTCAGGATCACATGGAAGGGTTGAAAGGAGGGCAATGTATCACCTGGAATTTAGGACCTAGTATAGGAGTTGAAGTCCTGAAAATCTCAGCTTTCAGTGTAAAAAGTGTTTATACAGCAGGAGAAAAACATGAGAAAGAAGATTAGCACACAGCACAGGCAGAGGGTCTCTGGGCTTTGCAGAGCTTCCTCTCTGTGGTTACTCGCCTTCATCTCCCCCACTCCCACTGCTCGCCTGCCCTTCTCTCCCTGTGTTGCCTCACCCACCTGCCCCCCCTGCCAACCCAGTCCTTGGGACAGAACGTAGATTCATCGAAACCTGAAAGCGCAGGCAGCACTAGATGCAAGCTCCATCAACACCGCATGCTTTAGAAAAAAATGGGGTGGGGGGTAGAGAGAGACAGACCGGTTGTTTGGGCTGCAGCCAAGCACACTCAGCATGGCAGGTTCGGAGCCTGCCTGAGCTGCAGGCCGGGGCATGAAGGCCTTGCCTTGGAAAAGCTTGTCTGACAACACCCTGGCGAGTTCGTAGCCTAAGGACATAAAATGTGCCTCTTGACTCAACCTGCTGCAATCAGCTTCACACCCTCTACTCAGCCTGCCTAGAGGCAAGAGAAACAGGAGCAAAGGGCAGGTGCCAGGTGATGCACTCCGGAAAGAAAAGGGCCAAGAAAAAACGGAGACACTTCCCAGAAGAGTCACCTCGGGTGGCACTTTGGAGAGGAGAGAAGAGAAGAGAGTCCTGCAGCAACACAGGGAGAGCTGCTCCTCTGGAAGGCTATTCTCCTGTGGCACTGCACAGTCAGAAGACTTCTGCATGGCGCGGCAGCTCTGCTCAGTGGTGCTAAAGCACAGAGAAGAAACTGCATGCAGCTCAGGAGCCCAGCTGGCTGTGGCAGCTTCCTCCCGCATTTCTCTTTCGCTTTACGGCATCTCCAGACCAGACTTCCAGATGTGCTAGGCTACAACTCCCACAGCTCCTCCAGATGTGCCAGACCGCAACTCCCCTTTGTAGTCCATTGCATCTGGAGAGGACCGTATTGGGGGAAGGTTGGTCCAGAGGATTCAAACACTCTGTGCTTGATCCTTTCTACCTGCCAAGCCAGACTCAGAATGTACAGATGACTGGCCAAGGCACAGGACAAAAAATGTCCAGTATCCAGCATCCCTTCAGAGAAAGCAAAAAGACACCCCAAAGGAAACCAGTCACAGGATCTGCCAGGAATGTGCACTGCCATGTGGAAGCACGTGGCTGCAGCCTGCCCCATCCATTCATGCCTAACTCCGGGATCTCAAGTTTCCAGCATTACCTGCGGTGGCGCTGCAGGTGTAGGCCCAGGCCTCAGGGAGCAGGTGCAGAAACACATTGCCCAGGAGCCCCCCGATAGCAAAGCTCAACAGCTGCTTCATTCGATGGGATCCTTCTGAAAGACAAATAGCTGCCAGTCACTGAAGAGCTCAGTCACCCCTTCTGTGCTACTCCAGAGAAACCTAAAAGGGATGGTGCATGCCTACAACTTGCTGCTCTGGCACAGGATTAGAAGGTTTGCTCTGCTTCCAAAGAAACACTAACACTAGGCGATTCCCATGCTGTTTAGAGCACTTGGCAACAGCGCTTGTGGGAGTGGGAAAAGTTGGGCATTCACAAGATCATGCGCCCTTTAAAAGAAGAAAGCAAGACTGAGCCTGAGCAGTGTGTTGGGAAGAGAGCAGGGCTATGCGTATTCCACAATTCCTAGCAAGTGGCACCCAAACACACAACATGGCACATAAATCAATATTGCTTTCATTGTGTGGTATATGTGCATGTTTCCAGCCCTTATGGATACCAGTTAGAAGTGTGTGGCCAATACCTGGAGAAACGTCAAAAAATATCAGGAAGAGGCATTTCCAATCTCTGTCTCCCTACCCCATAGCATTTATGCATTATTGCTATTATTATACTAGTTATACTCCACCTCTTTCTCTTGCAAGAAATCCAAGGTGGCTTACAGGTTCTTCTCCTCTCCATTTTCTCCTCTCAACAACAACCCAGTGGGGGTGGTTAGGCTAATACTGGCCCAACGTGATCCAGTGAGCTCCATGGCTAAGTGGAGACCAGAATCCAGGTCTCCTGAGCCCCAGCCCAAGATACTACACATTGGCTCTAAGATCTACCACTGGCCTGCTAAAAAGCCACCAGGTTGATATACAACCATTCAAAGCAAATTATAAAAATAAGATCATTGAAAAGTTAGGCACATTTGAAAGTTAAAACCACACACTGTAGAAAACTAGACTGAAAAGAAGTGTCTTTACATCCTTCCCAAGAGAAAGTCAGTCATGGTTCCTGAGGCAGTGCATTCCATATTTGGGAGCTATACAGGAGAAAACCATAGAAAACTGTGCCCTTTCAGCACAATGCTGTGCCCTTTCAGCACAAAATGCAAATTTGATATACTGACATCATTTACACAAGTCATAGAATTCTGCTTCTTGCAGTATCAGTTCAGAAATTTTAGTTATAGGCAATAGTCCTTTCTTAGAAAACCTTATATTCATCTTCAAGTTCTGAAGTTCTGCACTACTCCTAACTACCTTGTTTAATGAGATGACCTGACAGGGTGGTGTGCCCCAGTGTTTCAGCAGGCAGCAGTTCTTGGGGATAAGCTGGATCCCAGCTCTTGCATTAAAATACGCTCTACCCAGCAATAGCTGATGGAGCGATTCTAGCGGGGAAGGAAGCTGAAGTCCTCAGGAATACCATGGATACAAAGAAAGGTTGACCTACCTTCCGACTTCAGAGCTGCCCCCATCTCCAGAGGAATGAACAGCAGAGGAAGAACTCCACTTAGCCCCACCATAAGGGAACCAATCAGAGAACAGACCCAGGCATCCAGGCGTTCCTCGCTGAATATGGCTCCCCAGGAGCTGCCCTCCCTTTCGCAGTGTGAGCTGGCCCCGCCGGCAGCCTGGCCCAGTGGAAGGTCATGGGCCCAGGAGGCAAGAGAAAGAAGCAAGAAAGAGAGAGTTCTCGGGAGAAGGACCTTTCCCCACATCTTTACAGTGCCGCTTCAGCCTGGCTGGTTTATGCCTGCAAGAAAGAGAGAAAACATGAGCAATCCACGTCCTAGGCTCTCTTGTCCTTCTCTCCCATAGCCACAAATGAAAATCAGCCCCCGGAGGAATTTATCCCCTGGCTGGTCCTATATTCAGACTTTCTATGTTTTACTTCAAGGGGAGCAAGGGTGACTTACACTTTTTTTCCTACATGGAAATGGCACTATAACATGAAGCCATTCTTGCGCTTCCTGAGTGGCACTTCAGAATCCCCCTTCTGTCACTGAATCTCACATATATCACATTAGTGTTGAGCAACTGTGAGCAAGTCCTAAAGAAAAAGGCAATCATGTCAGCCAAGTGCCTGTGTGAGAGATAAGCAGGTGACATTTTTCTACAGCGACCTGATGGTCCATGTGAAACTGGCAATGTAGCCCAATCAGACAAAAAGTCGATCTCTCCAGTGCTGCCAAGCCAAGAGGTGAATCTTCACCACCCTTCACCACCCATTACAAACAGGGCACCCGTGTTCATGACAACAGTGGGATTGGAGTCAAAGTGCTCATCTAACATCTTGAGGACATCCATTGAGGCTCAGACAGCCCTTTGCTTCTGCATGAGAGCAACCACCACTTCAAGAACAGCACTCATCTGAATGGTCATGTGAACCCAGCCCAGAGTCCATGGCTTCCATAGATATGAAATCACAACAACTGTAATGACTAGAGCTGCCTTCCTCAATCAGTTCCAGGGTTCATGTTGTAGTCAAGTTCAGATGTTCTTGACTACAACTTCCAGCATTCTTGTCCATTGGCCATGTTGGCTGTTGCTGAGGAGGGTCGAGTGCAGTGTTTCAGGCTGAGGAACACTGGCACTCCGGCTGTGACGTTAACTAGTAAAGGAGAACAGGGACGTAACGTTTTAGCGAGCTCAGCTTTGAAAGGCTTCACCTACCAGAAGGCAGCTGCTTATAAGAGGATCTAATCAATTCAGAGTAGACTGACCTCAAGCAACAGTTATTGGCCAGAACAGCTAAAAACTGAACTTCTCTTTTCAGAGGCAGCAATACATCTGACAAACACCAGAGGATTTCCTGTCATGCCTTCTTAGTTAGGGAACATTGAAGTTCAGTGCTCACCTTCCCAAAATGGTGTGCTCCAGAGGCCTTGGACTACAACTTCCAGCTTCCCCAGCCAGCATGCCCAACAGTCATGGTGGCTGGGGGTGATGCATGTTGTAGTCTACCAGATCTAGAGGGTTCCAGGTTGGAGGAGGGGGTTCTCCCCTGACATAACCTTCCAAAAACACTATGGGGGGAACACCACAGGTACTGCATCCACATTGTAAATATAACAGGTACTCCAGGATTTAATTACACCTGTACAACCTGCAGCCAATTTACACATGCCTGTTCTTCCATTAGCAGATGCACCCTGAAGCAATGACTTGTATGAGCAAATGAACTATCCTAGGTTAGATATTGTAGATGGGGCTGTCAGTTCCTTGCAACAGCTCAAACACCATGTTTTTCAATGGAACCATCAAGCATCAAATAAGCAAATGCAAACAGACAGGCAGACAAAACACATGTGTGAACCAACCCACAAAATCCCCTCATGTCAGTCTAGGAAATAGCTTCTATGGAAAAAGAATCATATCTAGCTTTGTGACCTTTTCATAATTTCCAGGGACTTGTTTTGATCTCATAACCCACAGGCAGAGAAAAAATTGACTCAAAGCACATTCCATACTGGAGTACTAGAGACAAAACTGTCTCAGAGGAGAATGAAAGCAGCTTGCTGGAAAACAGCTGCGCTCCCTGGAGGCACTTATCCAAATTGGGAAGAGCTCCTGCCAGGAAGACGGGAATATGAATGCTGCAGCTAAGATTGCCCCAACTCCAGAAAGACAAGATGCCACAAGAAAAAGCGAGAGAGAGAGAGAGAGAGAGAGAGAGAGAGAGAGAGAGAGAGAGAGAGAGAGAGAGAGAGAGAGAGAAAGCCTTTTTAAATGCTACAACAGTAAAGATTGGAAAAACAGAATATATGGCTTATAAATTCATATACCAGCCCTTCCTAACCTTGTGCTTTGGACTACAACTCCCAGCATCCCTGACCAGTGGACATTCTGGCAGGAGTTGATGGGGAGCTGAAGTTCAAAACATCTTGAAGGCACCAGGTTGAGGAACGCTGCTATAAGCACCTACCTGTAAGTCCCATTGACCACAATGGGGTTTACTTGTGAGGAGTAACACACAGGATTGCATTGTAATCCTAGACATATTCATTCTGAGTAAACACAGTTAGGATTGTGCTATTAATCCCATGACAAATCTAATGCTGCTCTAGCCAAGAGACCAAATCTCTGCTCCAGACTTCTCACTGTGGGCTCTGCACCAAACGCTACTCAGAATGTAAACTTGTATCCAGGCCAAGAAAGAAACAGAGACCAAAAGCAGAAATATAGCAGAATATTTACATGGGACATTTCTGAAACTGCCGAGTCCCTCCAACCCAATATTTCCAGCTTATTCTAAAAATGGCCTTAATCCAAAGCACCTGGAAAGTCCAGCTCAGCTCTCTACCCAGCAAGTCAGAGCTTCTTCTGCTCTTTCCCTGACAGCCGAAAGCTTCGCCCTTGCTAACCACCCAGCTGTAATTTTTTTCCCAGCCTTGCATCCTACCACCGGGCTACTTTCCTATTTGGTTGGAAACCCAGGCATTCTCTCTAATTATGTGAGTGAGTCCAGACAAAATGTCATCTAATTCCCTTGCAACGGAAGAAGAAATAGCAGCAAACAAACTCTCTTCCAGAGCTATTTTATGAGTCCAGCAGTAAATGCCTGGAGTCCTTCAGGAAATTTGACCTTTTGCCAAAAGCTACAAGGCCTCATAGCTCCCATTCACAGTAGCTGCACCACTGAGAGATCTGGAGCATCAGCCTGCTACCCTTGGTTGAATCTTCCTGAAGGATTGCCCCATCTGGAAACTCTTTAATGCCTACAGAGAAATGTTCCCATCAAAGAGCATGCACATGCAACTTCTTCTGATTTACTGTTACTTCTAATTCACAAAGTGCTACAGTTCTTGTATATGTATACAAAAGCATTGAGAGGTAGGCCATTATTCCAATTTTACAACATGGGATGCCAGATTCTGATTTGTTCAGGTTCACCCAGTGAACTGGGCTTGCCTGTTACTATACTGAAAGTCACATCAGATACCAAACATCACTGCATCATAAACTAGCAGAAGCACAAGATACCACCGGTAGAACTGTGGAAAGAAGGAAGGAGGGAGGGAAGGAGGGAGGGAGGGAAGGAGGGAAGGAAGGAAGGAAGGAAATTCTACATGCAGGTAATCTTAATTCTGCATCAGAAACACAGAACCAGCTTCCCTATTGTCTAACATTGTCAAAGCACAATGAATTTTCAGGAAGTGGTATGGGTGGGTCATTTATGGACTCACCAAAGCCAACTTAGTGCTGCTTGCACTCTGTGAGAGCAACCATTGCCTGAACTTATCCAGCCAGATAAAAGAGACAGAGCAGTGTTTTTGCAGCTGATGTGGCTGATAGACATGGACAGTGCAATCCTCCATTATTTTGTTTAATTCCTCTTTCAATTACTAGTCATCACCACATCCTGTCCCCATAAATTCTATACTATGTATATGCTATGCACTTTATTTGATCTGTCTTGAATAAACTGCTGAAAAAATCACCCAAGTTCTTATGCTATGCAAAATGGAAAACAGAAAAAGTTTTGATCTATTTTGTCCTCACTATTCATGAATCTCTGATGTCTCCCTTTACACTAGGCCACAGTTATCCTAAAATGGAGCAGATACTGCCTGTTATTAGAAGGTGCAGGCAATTTGTGACCCTCCAGGGGTTTTGGCCTACAATGCCTCATCAGCCCTAGCCAGCATAACCAATGGTGAGAGATGATGCAAGATGTACTCCAGAACATCTGGAGGGCCATCAAACATCAGGAAGTTGACAAGTGAATTTCCTTCTGGTCAAAAGAGGATCATGTGGTTGTTGAAAACTTGTTGTTTGCCCACCATATCATATAACCTCTTTGGAAATACAGATAGCCACATTCATTAGCAAAGATTATCCTGACCAAGGCTTAATGTGAATATTCCAATATATTCCTCAGCTCTGAAAATCTTACAGCATTATTGAAAGACCACAGGGAAATACAGCAAGCAATTCAGGTTCATTCCTCACTGACCTCTACATGCATTCTTATTGTGAACACTATTTCTGATAGGGATACAAGTGAAGATAAAGTTTGTGAGACTTGGACAAGTGATGTACGCTTGACCCTGGCCCCATGAATAACACCTATCACTGCTGCTGAGAATGGGCCACTGTGCTTATCTTGTATGCAGTTAATCTTTATGTAGAGCTGTCACAGAATGTACTATTTTCATCACTATTTGACCCCACTGTTTGACCACACAATTTTTTCTCTATAGCAAAGTACACTGCCCAACTTCATGCATCTAATTAACTACATTTATATTACATTTTATTGGGTGGTATTTTATGGTTTTAATTGTCCAGAAATGTCCAAAGAGCTCCAACTATCGGGCAGTATCAAAATGTAACAAATGAATGCAACAGTAGTGATGTGATGCACCAGAGCTGACATCAAAGCACCCCTATCAGTCAGCTGCACAGTCTAGGTCCGAACTTTGGTGGCATTACGGCCGCATACACTATTTTCTCCCTGAAGGAGTGCCTGGGACATTTCTTTTCCTGAGAGGAGAACAATGCATGCATCCCACCCCACTGCCTGCAGCTAAACCGGAGGCTGAGCATTCCAGGTACAAAACTCTGCAGAACTCATTGATACGAGACCTCCGGAGCCCAGCACGGAAACAAAGGAAGAACAAGACCAGGGTTAATGAAGCTCAACGCCACCTCGCCAAATGCCCCCCGCATCAAAAGACCCATTCGGGCTCCGACCCATTTCGACTGCAGGCACGTTCTCGAAGCTGTCCCGGCTCAGGGCACCACCTGCGCCTCCCTCGGCGCTCGCCTCGGCTCTTCCATCCCGCCCCAAGCCCCGGCCGCGCTCGCTCCGCAGGCAACCCCTGCCGCTGGCCCAGACAAGCGGGGTCCCTCCACCCACAGGACGGCGCGCGGAAGGGGGTCTGCGTCCTCCCGGGGGGCACCCTCGACCCTGCGGGGAGGGGCCGGTTCATTACCGTGTGACGCCGGGCAGCTCCGGGTTGCCCCTGCCATCCAGCTGCGTCTCCGCTCGGGACTCCCCGACCCCCGCCCCTGCAGCTGCAGCTCCGCCTCCCAAACTCAGCCACGTCGGTTCCATCCTCCGCCACTCCAGAGCCTCCTCCCGGACGGACACATTAGCAACGCACCACTTCCGACGTGGCTGCTCTGGGGGAGCGATCGTCAGAGCACAGCATGCGTTGAAGGAACACGAAGGGAGCTGGAGAAAATGGGACACATTTCCGGAAGCGGCATTACAGGGGACCGGGCTTGGTGTTACTCTGCCGTACAGATGATAATACGCGAGCGCAGCGCAGCTCGGTGCGCTGTTCCAACCCGCGTTGTGAAGTTAATCGGCAGCGAAGCTTCGTTGAGAGCAGCCAGCATTAGGTCTCCTCCAGCGACCTCCCCGGCAGGCCAATGCTCCCAGTAGCCTTGCTCTGCCGGGCTGTGCCGGTAAAAGCACAAGAGCAAAGCTGGATCAGACCAAGCTTCCATGCAGATCTTCCCACCGGCATTTGAGGCGGGCTTCTTTTCGTTAGCGAACAACTGTCTTTACTAACTACGTTTACAGATCTCCCACTGGGCAGATTTTCCCGATTCTATAACGCAAATGTTTTCAGTCAGTTGAAACTGAGCGTGTGTGTGTAACACTAACAGTGATCTCTGTCTTGTGCATGCCAAGTACAGCAAGACTTGTACCTATTAGCTGAAGCACGCTCTCCCTTTCCATTCTGTCGTGGTTGACAGGCAAACACACCCAGAGAGGCCCTCGGCATAGGAGTAGCCAGTGATGTAGGGTGGAAAAGTTCCAAATTTGAAGATTATCCATAGTGGGGAAAATCCATTTCATAAGTTCATTAGTAACCGTTAAACCAAAACTGGTTGTTTTGTGCATGCATATGGACATGCATTTATGTATACATGTATATTATTAGTATAATTCAATATCAGTTTAACACATCTCTGACTGTTACTGTGTAGCTGTATCCCCCTCCACACACTTTTCTTTTTCTATATATGGGTTTTCACTCTTTTTTTGTATCCTCAGTGATTTTGTCCTGATACTTGAAAGACTGTAAAAATCAAATAAAAACTATAAATATTTTTTTTAAAGATGCAGAGGGAGGGACAGGAGGAGGAGAAGCAGCTGTGTACAAAGAGCCAGCTAATCCAGGGGGATCAGATGCACTAGGGCAGCTGATTTCAGCAGGGGCACCTTTATTTCAGCAAGGGCCCTTTTTCTCCAGTTATATGGAATGCAAAATCTTTCAAATTAACCAATTTGTGTGATGGAATCCTCTCCATGAAAGCTTATTATACCACAGTAAATTTGTGAGTTTTTAAGGTAAGGGACTGTAGTCTTTCTACACAAATGAGCAGGAAGCTCCTGTTGTCCTTTGACAAAGTCCTGGAATTTCAATTGGTAGAAAGAACAGATGGAGTCACAGAGAAGACCTAAATAGTCTTGAACTTCAGTGGTGTTATTGGTGAGATTAACCCAGTCACCTGCAGATCTAACAACAGTGTACCCCCAGGTACAGTTACAAAGCACCTACAAGCTTTAGAACATATAATACAAAGTGATTATAGGTTCTGAGTCACATGTACCCAGCAGCTGAGCAGGTGATGATGAAATAATGAGGACATAGTCAAAAAGAATGTGAGAGATCTGCAGAGAAGGCTTAATACAATAGCATTGATAACAGAAGATTAACATAAAGATCACTGAGGCACAGGGATTCTTCTGGGTCTTGGGTGTGAGTTTGACCATGCAAATTAGGGTGATTGTAATGCTGCTAAAAAAAACTTCTCTGGCCTCTTATCAGCTTTGTTCCTGTTAGCACAAAATAGAAGGGCTAACTCCAGCAAAACCATTTTGCACTTAACTGTAGCAGCTGCTCTCAGGTGAGCTGAGAGTTCCAGTCTCTTAAAGGAACAGCAATGCTAAACTTTAATGTGGCTGGGAATTCTGGTGCTTTCTGAGAAAGGGGTGCAGGGATTTTTATAACACAAAGGTACATATAAGCAACCTTTTTCTACCAGGATTTATCTGAATTTTCCCAACACTTTCCACATCTTTTATTCTTTTCTAGCATAATGCAAACTCCTGATGGCAGAAAGATCACATACCCACCTGAATCTGACCACCAGAATCATGCACCAGCAGGTACACTAAAAATAACAACAACAACAACAACAAGCAGATCCAAAGAGCTCCAGCAAGCCAGACCAAGCCATACATATAATCTTGCCACAAATTCAGGCACTGCTGCTCATGCAGACACTTTTTGCAAGCAAAACCACTTCTTAACTTTTCCCCCAAGTTCAGGGCCTGGGCCAGCTTTGAGGAAGCACCATTTAATATGTGAGTGACCAGAGTGTCAGCTCTTTCTCTTGTCAGGGCTTTGCTGCTTACAATACAGATGCCCAGTAGCAGTTGGCTGGGCAGATTTCTGCAGAATAAAGTATGCTCTGAAGAGGTTTGGTGACAGTGAAGTTGTTAGGCAAGTTTAGATCCTAGGCTCAATGAAAAACATGAGCAGACCATGAAGGGAAAGCTGGCAGTCTTGCTTTTAGTTTGAAGGACTGGTGCTTTCATGCTGGGCTCCCTATTTGTCTGCTAATGGAGTGAGGCTTGTGGTCACCTATTAAGGGCAAGATGGCTGAGCTTAACCCACTAACCAGCCACTAACCCTGCTCACAGACCACAGGAAGTTGCAAAGATGGCCTCCCAGAGATTTGGGGCCCCACAATGATTATGGGAACCTGCACTAATGGAGCATAACCTAACACCACTGGTTAAGTGCAAAAGCACCGTCCTGCCCATGTTCCCCAGTAACAGATGTACAAAGGCATACCACACCTGATCGTGGAGATAGCATATAGCCATCAGGACTAGTGGCCATTGATAGCCACCTTCTCCATGAATTTTTCCAGTCCTCTTTTATAGCCATCACTACATTTTGTGATAGCCAGTTCTGTAATTCAGCTGTCCAATAAGTTATCTGTTCTGAATCTCCCTCCAGTCAGATTCACGGGATGACCCTGGGTTCTAATATTAGAAGAGTGGGAAATAATATCTCCCACTCCACTTTACATGTAAAATTGTATATACCTCTATTCTTTTTGTATACAACACCATCTGCTAAAAACCCTTCTGCGTTTTCCCGCTAGTTCATCCCTTTCCTTCCTTACTATAGACATTCTGTTAAGAGGGGGAAAATGGAATATTCTTTCCCCATTTATGGCCAAGACAGGGATGGGCAGAAAGTAGATCTCCAGATGTTTGGGGCTTTACTAGCATTTCTGACCATTATGAAGGGGCTCTGGGAGCTCAAATCACCTGGAGACCTACTTTCTCTTGAGCCCTGGCACGAGCAGTTCTAGTGCCTGTCTACAAAAAAGGAGTCTTCTTTATTTCTTGATGGGATTCCTACCAATGAGACCTTGAGCCTGAGCCAGTTCCTTAGCATTAGGTTTCAATTATATTGTTCTGAGGGCAGGAGTTTGCAACCTGTTGAGCTCTGAGGACTGCATGCAGTTGGAGGCTGTACATCTTTATGCACACACATATATATATACTCACCCACTTTCTCTGTCCCATGTACATTTCATTGCCCAACACAAGGAGGCTTAAACCTTGGTCCTGAGGGATCCACCCTGCACTCCAGTATCTCTTAGGCAATCCATCTCCTCCTCACCATTATCTCAACCTGGATGACACAGCTCCCCTCTGGCTGCAGGCAGAAAGAAGCTGTGGGAAGCATATATTTTGGAACTATCTGGCTACACAGTTGTCCTTGGAACAATATGCTGTATTTGATTGATGAAACTAGCAGTTGCTTAATACCACAAATCCCAAGATAGTACCATTGTGTTATCTGAAATATTTGGTTGATGACACAGAGCCTGAAGCCATTACAAAATGTGTCTAACAGTAAAATGAAAGAAAGCAGCTGCTCCAACAATACTGGAATGTGTATACGTGAGTGTGTGTGTAAAATACCATTTTCTCGGAATGTTTGCTATATACATAAAAAGTAAAATTGTTAAAAAGAAGCTGTAGGGCAGTGCTGACCCAGCCCAGGTTGAGGGTACTGGGATGTGGGTGTGGGCTTTGAAGGAAAGATCTCCTGGGAGTCATTGAAGAAAGCAGCTTAGAGGTTCCTCTGGGGAGGAGGGAGACAGAAAACAGAGATCACTTTGGTTATTGCTCTTGTAAACTTGACTCGAGGCCTAAAATGCTTCTTTAGTTCCTTCACATGTACACAATTAGCCTCCATTTAGCTGAAGAGGGTGAGATAAATCACTTCCCCCAAATTTTGATGGTTTCCCTGTTCACAAAGTCAGATGAAATTCCCCAAGGATTCCAGAACTATCTCCATATAAAAAAACCATCTTTTGACAGTTGGCACCCCTAAAGTGATATCAACCAGCTATCCTCTGGGGCAATCAAGAATTATTAACGGAGTTTCATCTAATTCCAGTCTTTTATTAGGCATTGCTTTAAGATAAAGCAGAGTGGGTATAGATTGGTTCACAATAATCAGATGACAATCCCAGAGGAAGCTCTCTTGCACGTTCACAGTCACAATTTTTGCTGTAATGAAAAAATAATAATCTCAAAGTTGAACAGCTGCATAATTCTTATTAGGAACTTGTTTAAAATATATTTTGGTTCATCCTTTGTTTATTCTTTCTTTTCTATGCATGTATTATTGAGACTTGACTCAGTTCTGCCTAGTGTATACTTGGTGCAGCATTGATCTAGGCTGGAAGGCTGGATGGAGATGCCATGATTCACAGAACTTCTGTTGTTTTTACCAGGAAACTACTCCACTTTGGAGTGGATTTTGAAGGGTTGCACCTGATACTGTGTCTTGGATCAGGGATGCTGCTGGTGTGCCGCCAATCCTGCTGCTCAAGAACCTGCTTGACTGAACTGGCAGAGATGGTCTCAAGTGTGGTATTGGAAGAGGCCAACATGGTGCTTCTGAGTGACTTAAATTCCTCTGCAGTCCCAGTTTGGAACTTCATGATCTCCAGGGCTGTCTCAATGTGTCATTGGGCCAACACAAGAACTGAGGGATACCCTCAATTTGGCCTTCGTT